TCGGAAACGACGTTGCGCACCTGCCCGTCCACGGATTTCAGTCTTTCTGCTTGCACGCTGCAGAGATGTCGGACCATGACTTTTTCACCCTGTCCACTATGAGAGCGATGAGCGCGGCCTTGTCCTTCAAGGCCTCCACGTTGACACCTCAGCGCGTCGAATCAATGCGATTCAACACCGAGGCATTACATAGAATGAAGGAAACCAACCTCAGTGGCACAACTCTTTCTGTGAGTTCAATATGGTCAGGCGCCTGGCGTTTCCAGCCACCCCCCATGGTATGGCATACATGTCCTGGTATGCCCCCCCCCCCCCCCCCCGCACAGCAGCCAGTAGGGGAACCCACACCACAGGAAATCGCAGTGCCATCGGGTGCGGGGAGGGGGGGGGGACCTGGCAGCGCTGCACCATTTTTTTGTGTGTATGAATATATGCATAAGCTTACTAACTTACTATACATAGGGGTATAAATACATAAATGCTGAGCTTTCTTGTGTTTCTGGTCGAATCCAAACGAAAGGCTGGAGCTATGGAATCCAGAGATCTTCAAGAGTCGCTTCGTCGAACACGTCATAGCTGATACCCCTGTGGTTATATCAGGCAAGCCACACTGGTCAGAACCAATGCACCTTCTCTATGCGCACAGTCTGATTTTTGGTTGCATCGTAGATCGCATGCGGCGTGAGCCGACCCAAGCTTATGGGAGCTCAAGCGATGAATGCGAAGAAACGGTTGAGTTTCTGCTCCTGCGTTCGCTAGTCTTTTTGTTCACCCCAGCAGTTGCACTGGCTGTCGGCTCACCTCCCTGTTCTTGTTTCGCTGCAGCAGCTCCACAGAAACACCCCGAATCAGATTCATGCGATCGGCTTTGACTGGTTCAAGGCCTAGCGACTACACAGTTTCGGGCCTCAGAGCACACCATGAACATTGCCATACTTATCTTCACCAGTGTCAGCGTACACAATATACACATCACTTTTCTTTGCTGCAAACGATTCATCTCGGTCAACGGCAGTTGATGCTTGTACGAAACACAATCAACAACAATAGTGTCGTCGATCCGGGGTCGCTGCTTGCCTTGCGTCTTCGTACCATTCGAACCTGCTCGCTTGATGCTGAAAGACAGGTCCACCAAGGATCGAGCATACAGCAATCTACAGGTCTATCACTGCGGAGAAGAAGGGATCGCTTGCTTCAAGTGTTCAAAAGCTGCTGGCTCTAGCTCTTGCGCGAGCCAGCGCCGTGCGGCTCTTCTACCAATCTAAGGGCACTGCCTGCAACCAATCACGCACAGGCTCGAAGATTGGCAGGGATTCAATTCGGAACAGTTGTCTGTAGATGTCTCGAGCTCCGTCGACTGATGCTTAGCACAGATAGTGAAATCCTATGTTGAACACTTCAGAATTGACAGCATTGCAGTTTAGTGATAACTATTTAGTTATTCATTTGTTGCCAGTCATTGCCAGTGGTGATTGGACTCGTGACAGGCTGAAAGTGGGAAGTTCATGAAAGACATGCAAGCCAGTCATACTGCCAATTTGCACGCGCGTGGGTATTGAAATTGAACACTTCACACTGGAACATAAATCAAAGTTCCCGTGACAGGTTGGCTGGGGGTGCTAGTGTCCATGCAAACCGTCGCAGGCCGCTGTGGCATGCTGCTCGACTTCAAGAGACAGACTGTGGCTTCCCTTGCTCATGCAATCTCATGCACTGATGTCCCTGCAACCGTATGTGGCAGCCAGGAACCTTTGCTGCCTGTGAGTGGGGGAAGGCAAGCCCTAGACGAGCCTGAAAAGATCTTCCCCCTTTCAAGACTTGAGTCTTCTGTGGTAGCCAGGGCTGGTCATGGGAAGTTTTTGGTTCAAGCAGGAAGATCTCGTGGGCTTCCAAACTAGACTTCTTCTTTGCTCATCGGGTTTTGCATCCTGTAGTTGGTGCTGACGTTTCCTTCAATTCAGTTCCGAGCGAGGGCCTTCGTGTGTAGAAGCGATGGATAGGTCTGCCAATGATCTTCCGGCTCTGTTCCCTGTGTCTTGCCATATTCTTTGCCATCGCTTGAAGCTTCGTTCTGCAGCCTGTGTTGAACCTGTTGCCGTGCTGGCTCCTGCTGATTTAAGAAAGAAGGGGTGCAGGATTGTGCAGGCCTTCACATACAAAGCAGCAGTGGTATTTCAAGCTGCGCAGCAAGCCAATGAAGGTGAAAAACCAGCTGTCGCGGAGACTCCTGGGGACTCCTGAGGCCCCAGCCGTCCCGGTTTTCGCAATGGCACTGACGGGATTGAGGATGGCATCGATGGTTGCCTGCTGTTGCTTTGTGATCCATGCGCTGACGCACAAGTGAAATCCTGCCGCTCAGACGAGCGTCGCAATGACGTGAGCCGTTAGCTTTTGATGGTTCTGAAACAAGCAGACCTCTCAACCAGCACGAAGCTGTGGCGCTAGTCAGTCATCAGTTTCCCAGGGCCTCTTCGCACACTGTAACAGCCACATGCACCAGAACAGCATGATAACTCGGGCAAAAATCTCGAACAGTACTCCCCCACTACTCCCCCGCAAAGATCTCCCGCCGGAATTGCCTTTGCCAGATCCTGGCCGATAAAGTCGTGAAGCTCCTCAGAAAGTTGTGACTGCCGCGATTTGAACGTCCTGGTTTAAGTGTAAGCTTCGAGGACCAGTTGGTTAAGTTCAAGCCTTTACAGCTGCAAACTGACCGGACAAGCGAAGATTGGCTTGGTAGCCCCGCGGTCTCATTGCAGCTAGCACAGGGAAGCGAGGCTTACGAAGCTTCTGCTGCCAGTTACGTCTGCAAGATGGCAAACGCAGCCCATCTCCATCTCAGACCTCCAACCTGTGTGTGGCACAGGCCTCGAACACGTAGAGCCCTTTGCCTGAGTTTGTTAGCGATTAAGATTAAGGCGTTGGGAAGGTGTGGATAAGCAGATTGCACGATTCAGCACCTGGTGGATTTTCCCTGACATGTCGCCATGCGGACAACTCACGGGAAAGCTGCTGCGTAGGGCTGTCAAAAGCCCGTCCCCATCTCGCTTAAGAAGAACCGCCACAGAACTGGAAAGGATGCTGGTTTCGGGATATGATAGCGGCTGCTTGAGGCTCACCTCCAACAGCCTCACACCCTTAATGCCTTCATCTGCATCATGCGATAAATGATGGATGGAAGCTGATTTCCAAAAGAAGCGACTCCAAGGCTAACTTCTTGTTCGCCAAGCATGTTGCTGGAGCACGAGAAGCCCAACGTGATTCAGCGAAGCGAAGCTGGGCTTTCCGCTAGCCGCTTCTTTCGCAGGCTCCATCTTGCCAAGGGAGACGTACCTCTCTGGCTCTTCGGAGGCCTTTGCGGCCTGGGTTAGCAGCCCTCCTGCCCGCAGTCGGCGCACGAGTGGCCAAGAAGCAAGGACGCCGTTGCCTGCAACGCGATGGGATGGGAACAAATGTGCACATACTTCTGGTGCGTATGTGTAAGGCTTGCATTGTCCAAGGTGCCGTGTTCAGCCTTCTGCATGCAGTTCGAGGGCACGAAAGTAAAGCTGGCATGAACTTGTGAAGACTGCTATCTAGCCGCTGGGACAAAGTTGAGGTGAACAACGTGTTGCCGGACATAATTAACACATGATCAAAGGCATTCCGAATAAGTCATGGCCTCCCCAAGGCGGTCGCCACTGCGTCGAGCGAGGCTGCCGGCGCTCACAGCTGCCTGGCGAGCCGCCTTAGGTCGAGACGATTGCAGAAAGCAGTCGAAAACGTTGCTTGGATTTTTGCGTCCTGGTTTAAAGACGGAGCTGCCTCCTTTCGCCATTTCATCCCTGTCACAAAGCAAGCCAAGCCAAGCCATGCCGCGATGGCGACACGCAGTTGAAAACTCAAGCGCCCGGCATGCTTCTCTCCCGAGAGGTACTGTGATTGGGAGACGGTGCAGAGAGCCGAGATCATCAAATCAGTCCTGCTGAAAAATTGATACCCTTTAGAGTCTGCTACGCCCGCTGATCAAAGGGGTCATGGTACACAAACCTCAGGAAGAAACATGAAGCACACATGATGGACACGTTGACACAATCTATGTGAAAATCGTGTTGGGAAGCCTTCGACTGCACCTTGAATGGGCATCCGGCAAACGATGCTTCCACTTCACCCTATAATCCCTAATCAATTCACGCCTTCACGGCCACCGTCGGGGAGTTTGTGCTGTTGATAGTAGTCTGACTAGTGACTAGCGATGCAGGGACAAGGCTTCAACATGTATACCATGCAATGCAAGGCCTACCATCACCCAGCTGAAGCTCACCATCGCCAAGCGCCTCTTCTGCTCCCGCGCCAGAACGATCGCTCGTTTGGCAAACTGGCGAGCGCATCATCTAATTTCTCAAGTTGCTATGCGGCTTTCCGAAGTTAGGTAAGCTCTTGGAGCGATGCTTGTGTTACGCCTTGTGCACCATGCACATGTTGCTGTGAACCTGTTACAGTCCGTGTACCTGCAGGTCGTGAAAGTCCCTGTGCAGGAGGCCGTTAAGAAGAGCTGAACAGGGGGCTCCGGCAAATCCCTCCCTGAAAGACTAACACATGGTGCTACATTGTGGCAGCTCCAAGCTCCCATCATGGGCAAAATGAGGTCAACTTGCATGCTGTTCCGTACGCTTCTGAAGTGCGCTTTAACTATGAACCCAAAGGCCCGCACTGCACCCTCCAAAGCCTGCTCATCAGATTCCACCCGCCTTCTCAGCTCTCTCGGCTGTTGAGGCGAACTCCGAGGACTTTGGGGCCATGGACCCCGTCTCCAAGAGACCCAGGGTGGCCTCCGAGATGTGGTTCGCGTGGTATGTACTCTGGTGGTTCTTGCCTGTCCTGTTATGTCCTGTTCACAGGTTCTGGATGATGCGCGCTTGAGTCTTGCTGTTTTCCCTTCCACCAGAGCAAGTAATTAATCGGAAAGCCTAAAGTTTCGCGAAGTCGGACGGCTTCAACCTTCCACTGCCACGTCTCTGTCTGGGCCTGGGCAGCGCTCACGAGGAGGCCTGTGCGAAGGTTGGGATGACCCGGATGACTCGTGAGCAAGTAAGGTGTGAGACGAGGGCATGCAATCACCTTTTTTCGTGCTAAACGCAGTCGGACTCCCCTTGATTCGGCGCCTCTGGCGCCTTCTCGGGCTCTTGCGCGTCTTGCGCTTCCCCCACAGGCGCGGCCTCTACAGGCACCTCGTCAGGTGCTGCCTCGGCTGGCGCCTGCTCGGCTGGCGCCTGCTCGGCAGGTGCCTCCTCGGCCGGTGCCTCCATCGACTGGTCAGGTGCAGGCGCGTCGGCGTCTCCCTTGGGCTCGGCGGAGACCTCCGGAGCCATCTCTGGCATTTCCTCATCCGGTGGGGCCTCTGCTTCCTGGAGCTCTTGCTTCACTGTGATCTCCTCCTCCCGCGGTCGCTTCCGAGAGGGCATGACCTTGGCAGTGGCCTTCATCAAGATGACCACGTCTTCCCCATCCGGCAAGGGCGCTTCTATCCCCAAATCTGCTGGGGTGAGAGTCATCTCCCCTTCTTCCTCGGGTGCTTCAATGCCCAGGTCTGCATCGGTGAGCACCATGTTCTCGCCCTCCAGCGTCTCTGCGGCTGGCAGCTCCTTCATGGGGTCGTAATCTTCATCCTCCTCTTCAACCTCTGCTTCAACCTCGTCTTCCGACAAAGGTGCTTCAATCCCCAGATCTGCATCCGTGAGCTCTATCTCTGCTCCTCCTCCCTCTCCCTTCTCTGCTTCACCCCCTCCATCCCCGGTGCCATCGCCGGCTACCTCGTCAGCTGTCTGGCCAGTGTCATCCTCGCCCTCTAAAACCGGATCCGGGGCGTTCTCATCGATGACCTCCCCGAGCTCGAGGAGCAAGGGATCTTTTTCTTCAGCCTCCGGCTCCGGCTCAATTCCCAAATCTGCATCCGTGAGCTCAATCTCTGGCTCAGCCTCCCCAGCCTCCCCCTTCTCCTCCATCGTCTCGTCGGGAGCGCCAACTTCGGCAGCTAGTTGCTGTTCAGCCGTCTCACCCGTCTCCGTCTCCTCAGCTCGGAGGATGGCCTCGCAGGCGATCTGCAGGCATTGTGCTTCCAGCTTGTGGTCGATCTTGGACAAGTCAACCCCTTGCAAGTGGCCCTTGCGAAAGTCCTTTGGCAGTCCTTCCACACCGTTGTCAAAGATGGCTCCATGCTCGGTGAGATCATGGTGCTTCAGCAGCGGGTCTCGTGTCTGGTGCACCCAGACCTTCGGGTCCCTTTCTCCGTAGTCGAAGAAGTGGAGCTTCACCTTTCCCGGGCCCTCTGGGAGGGTGCAAGGTAGGAGATTGCCACAAACCCCAACATAACCGGCCAAGACCTGGTGGTGCATCAGCACTGCATGCAGAGCCGCTTCGGCCCCCTGTGCCAAGCCCCCCACGATGAGCCGTTTGTGCCCATCGTCACCTAAAAGTGTTGCTTCTCGCTCCAATGTCAGCGACAAGCGGACTCGGATGTCCTCCAAGCTGAGAGGGTCGGCCTCCAGCTCTTTGCTGCCATTGTAGTAATCAAACCAGCTGATGCAGGGTCGTTTGTTGTATGCTGTGATCTGCGTGTTCGGCGCCAGCGGAAGCACAAGCCGAACCCCCTCCGAAGCAAACAAGCTCTTGGCCTGCAAATAGCGGACGTTGCCTGCACCGAAAGGATGCAGATACACCAACGTAGCCTTGTGCTGGCCATCTTTGGGCAAGATCAAGGACTGAGGAAGCTGAAGGCGGGCACTGGCCGGCGCACGTGCGGGCGCAGGCTCGCCAGCGATCTTTGCAAGGACCGCTGCGAAGGGCTCGGCAGCTTCCCACTTCTTGTCGGCTTCGTCGTGCGCTTTCGTTTGAGCATCTGACTCCTTTATCTCAGCCGTGAGCTTCTGGACAAGCTGCACGAGCTGGTAGCGTGGTGGAATCGCCGCACCACCTAGCGCAAGGTCCGCACGAAAGGACAAGTTTGTCCCGCTCCCCAATCTAAAGCATGTCCCTGCCTGTGTGAGCACTGTTGTTGCCAATCATTCGCAGGAAGTGCGCCATACTCACGACCCGCGACAGTTCCGGGCAAGCATCTCGTAAGCAGTCGATTTTCTCCTGTTTCAGGACGCGCGGGAGGGATTGTTGCTAACGCTGGCTGTTTTGCATTTTTCTTCTCGTTAGAAGTGGCGAGCCATGCTTGGCTCCAACTCTATGTTGCCGCATTTCTGGGTGTTTTCATTCTACTTCAAAGGCAATGACTCACACGATGTGCAACATTTTTCTTTGCTTTGCGGCAGTGCCGCCTGTTCTCGAATTCAACACTTACCAGCCGCAACAAAAATGCCTGCTACAGTTCTAATTGCTCTCTGGCTGCAAAGGCTATCTGACTCCAAATACTGCAGCAAGGTTTGTGCTTTGGTCTGCTGCAGTATAACTACCGTTTCAACTTCACCACTCGTTGCTCAGAATGCCCAGATGGCACAGTTTTTTCTTGGTCGCATTGTGTTGTCGCTCCGGATGACACGAATCATGTTTGGTTTGTCAATCTGTCAATATAGCCATTCCCCATCCGCAGGAAGTTCTCAACGTGCGAAGACATCTGCAGTTCACTTCGTTCTGTTGGATTTACACGTTCGATGTCCACTGTAATGTGATTTCGCCACCATGTTGCACATACAGCGAAAGCATGTGCAGTTAGTTCCTGAATTGTGTTGTGCTTCGTTCTGGATGACGTTTGTTAGGGTTTAGATATAACTGCAAGCCCGAGCTGTTCATGAAACGAAAAAGTGGACTTGTTTCCTTTGTTCTGTGGTGCTTTCGTTTCTAGAAGACATGCGTGGTTTTCACCATGTCAACTGCATCCCCCACCTGCCAAGCCAAGATCGGCGGAGTAGTTGACGTTGTTGCGCTGTGCTTTCGGTATCAATTAAACCCCCGCACCGGGCCAAAGTCTGTGGTTTTCGACTACTTTACTTTTATCCCCCCTATGAAGACTCGCAGAGCGAAGACTAAGAACGGACCAACGGATCACCTGAGCGAACACTTGCGGATCAGGAGAACCACAGGAACAACAGACCAGCGGCCTTACGTAGGGACAAATGCCTCCACCAATATCATGTCAGCAACACCGGACCCTACATAATGCATTGTGCACTGAACCGACCAAGAAGCCGGCGTGTCTACACTGCTTCATTCATGGCAACATTCGTCTGAGCCAAGTGTGGCCCGTCAGATGTCCTTGAGCGTAGCTTCGGGAGGAAGGCATTTCTCCCTCAACCGCAAATCTTGCCTGAAGCGCGCTGAAGGCTTGTCACGTGTAGCTTTAATATGGGTCTGCTGCTTTACTACATAGCTACATGGCTACTGACGAAATCGAATGCTTCAGGACCAGGGAGTTGTTTGGCCAGGGAGGGAGACGCATGACACAATGTGGTGACCTTTGGTGCTATCTGCTTCATCTGCCTCCTCGATCTGCACGAGCATCCGTCACGCATAATTCGAAGAATTCCGGGTGTGTCAGGTATAGGTCTTTCTCAAGACACGATCAAGGCTGGTGTGGTGCCAGGCTTCACCATCCCTTGAAATTATTTTAACAGCATTCGTTTGTGACATCCCAGCTCGAGGTCAAACTGTGGATCCTGTTTAGACCCCAAAAAACAAACAACAGAATGAGTGTTTCTTCGCTACAGGCCATCGCTTGGGCTTCACGGATCGCCTCAAACACGAGCCGATGCTTTTGCAAAGTTTCAGCACGACGCTTGCGAACTCGTCACGCCATCCTAACTACTTGGATCATAACCGCAGGCGTCCCTCCATGTCGCAGCACGAGAATCTCCAAAATCATCCAAAATCAGTCACTTACTAGATCATCGAGCTGCTTGAACTTCTTCTGCACCCAGGTCTCGAGGCCAGCGCGGGCTGTGACCATGAGCTGCCTGCAGAATCCACAGCCCTGATAACCTAGACTCTGCTAGACAAAAAGAGGATCAACTCTTGGGATCCGAAAGCGGCACCTGTCACGCTCGTCGCCAATCTTCGGTAGACCGACTTGGCTGCGGAGCTCGTCCACCACCTTTGGGATAAGTCTGGTTCCCTTGCATTTTCGCCGTTCTTCTGGGCGTGGGCATCTGGAGACATGTCATGGAGGATTTGAGGTGCTGCTTTTCCGGGTGCCTTCCTGTGGCTTGGAAGGAGTGGACTCCCGCAACTCGGAAGCCCCCGCGAAGGGTTTCAGAGTTCATGTTGGGTATACAGTAGGTTGAGATCTGCACGAATGCGTCACAGGAGCATCACTCCGGTTGCGATCCCCCTCCTGCCTGCGTGAGCGCCGGGCCGGCGACCGTCACGCCACCTGGCAAAGTCCGGAAGTAACCGAAAGAAAAGAAGTTCGGATGGATGCAGTGGAAATCGAACTGCTAGTAGGCATGTTCACAGTCCCAACACGACCAAGCATGTGTGACTGGGGCAACTCTGCAGATTTGTCATTTGTTATCTACCCGTGCACAGCTGCAATGACCTGAGATACACCCTGTCTGCCGAAGGTGGCAGGAAAAAACATCACTGCAAGCTGAGCCGCCCTTCTCGTTTTCTTCCTCGAGAACGGCAGCCTGCATGGTTTGCACAGCCATTATCGGGGAGCAAGGCTTGACATGGCTGCAGACGCCTGTACTAATCGTCGCAACCAATCAGGTTCTCAAGCATGTGACAAGGACCACCAACGGATCTACAGTGTTCCGAGGAACTCACTCTGGCCTCCTCCCAGTACTTGTCCAGGTTGATCTGGACGACTTCTACAGAACAGCCCTGGAGTCTTTGAATGATGTGCCAGTTGCACTCAGAGATCCATTGCTGGTCGCCGGCAAAGAGGATGCATTGGCGCTTGCAGCTGCCGTCGTGATCAGACATGACCGAAGCTCGGGCTTGGCTCACTATGCGGCCGATGGCATTGTATGCCTCGGATGTGACGCGGATGCGATGACAAAGCGCTCATGGCATCATGGGCTGCAGTGACGCTGCGAACATCTGCATCGGCCCGAGGTCGTAAGGATGGATCGCCAGCACCTGCACGAGCTGAGAACTTGAGAACTCCGTTCTGCCGTGCAACTTCGTGTAAGCCCTCTGACGCTGTCGGCGCAAGCCGGCGCTAACCGGGGCAAGGGCTGGTTGGCGGTCGTAGGTCCAGCCATGAGCTGCGCAGGCCTCCCGTGAGAAGCGGCTTGGTTCCGTCCGTAAATGAAAAAGCAAACTGACCCTTGTCCGAAGATGCCTGCGCTCCTGCAAAGTAACCCGAATAAAATCGACTTCTGTGTCCTGGGCGAAACCATCAGTGTTGTATTCCGGTGGCCGCGCATCAACGATGGATCCGACACCTGATGGCAACTCGAGCTGTCAACGACGGGATGGGCAACAAAGATGTTTGGCAAGTTCCTCTGCTCGGTGAAAGCTGCAGTCACAAACTCTCAAACTCTGGCTATGATTCAGCTGGCGAAACAAGCCGAGGCACGATAGCTCTCCAGCATCTTGAGCATCACAGACGGATCCACGTTGGGTTCCCAACCTCGCAGGAATGCTCAGCCTACTCCTGGAGCTTCGTCCTGCAGAATGCGCACAATGCTCAATGCACGAATGCATAACTCTACGGCGCTGCGGGCTGCGGATGCCTCAATACCAAATGTAGAAATGCTAAGCAGTTCCTCGCCGAGCTGCCGATCGTGCAAACACTGGGTTGATTGTTCTGCGCCTCCTCGGCCGTTCCCACAGAAGGACGGGTTTGCTTTCGATTTGTCGGATTTGCCCGTAATCCGAAACTGCGTGCGCACACATCAAAGCGGGACAATGCACGGAGCCCAGGGTGGCTGCTGATTCAGTGTCAACAAGATCTTAATTCCCAGCGTGAGCTAGGCGTTTCGGCCCCAGAGAGTGGCCTCCTCGGCCGCATTGCCGTGGTCCTCGCTGCTGGAGGGCTGCCCCGAGCTGAGGGCCATGGACTCCTCAGAGGAAGCGGCTGCAGGCAAAAACAGAAGCAGCCTCTGGCCGGAGTGTCTTTGGCAAATGTCAGAACAGTGCAGGCATACCATCGGACTCAGGGAAGCTCCCCTGACGATTCTTATGAGGAAGATATACAAGCGGCAAAGCAGCTCGTCGGCCTACTCCGAAGATCTCGCAGGAAGGCGTGATGGCGCGAGCTCCAGGCTACGAACCACGACGGAAAGATGGAGAACAGAATTAGAGCGTTCGCCCCTATGCAAATCGTTTCATTGTTCTCGCTTGCTCCACGAAGGCCGAAATTCATGCCAGGGAACCGGTGTAGGCATCTGCTTCAGCTGAGACATGATGGTCAAGAACTGCTCGTGCGACATCGGGTTCGAGCTTTGGCCACCCTCCCGCTTGACAGCACCTGCACGTGCAATTACGATGTGGACGAACACTCTGCAACCTCTCCTCCCGCAGCAGCTGAAGGATAAGCGAACCGCTCGCATTGCGCTGTGCGTGTTTCTTCACGGCTTGAGGCTTGAGGGGACCACGCTAACTTACCCTTCAACAGGTGATACTGTTCATGAGGTTCAGGAGTTCCAGTGCTGCTTCGCATGCCGTGCGACTTGCGATGTTGACTTAGGCGTTGCAAGCGCTCCTGTTCCTGCTGAGTGGGGAGCTCCTGAGACCTGCAAAGTATTCACATGCTCCGTGGTTTCTTCCGTGTGCAACCCTTTTTTGTTTCCCGGGCAGAGGTTCCCAGGTTCGTGAAAATGCATTGCTGCCATGCAAGCCCGCGCCCAGCCACACAAGTATTTGCCTGGCTCTGACTTCATCTCGCCCTTAACGCCTTCCACACCGAGCCCGCGAGTCTCCTCCGAGCAAGTGCTTCCAGTGACAAGAAAGTACGGGCCTCAAGTCCTCTGGCTACAGTCTCACGGAAACAGCGGATTGGCCGAATACGATGTGCAAAGCTTCAGGGCTCCTGCTTCACTTCTTGCTTCACCTCCGCCTTCATCTGCGCAAGAGCCAAGGGGTTGCCGAAGTGGCCTGCAGCCCGTCCCTCGCGCTTCACCTCTTGCTTGATATTTTCAACCTTGGGCTGGGCAGGAGACCGGGTCAAGCTCGAGGCGGGAACACTGGAAGTGGGCTCCAACAGGTTCTGTTGGTACACTTTACTACTCCGCTCGACTCGTGCACCCAAGTTGCATTGATGGTTTCGGAGATTTCAAGGATATCCTGTGGCAGACTTCAGGTCGCTGTCACGGAAAGTGGAACATCGCAGGACCCTCGCACTGAGGACTGTCCTGCGAGAGCTTGCGGGCCAAATCTCGCACGGAGTCCTCGACCTGTTGACGACGCAACACAAGCCGAAAGGGATCCCAACAGTCGTCACCTGTTACGTCTGGCTTTGTGGATCTGCATTCTAGCCTCCTTCTTCTTCCGCGCAGCAGCTTTCCTGGGCAATTCACATTTGCACCCACTGTCATAAGGATGATAGTAGACTCTCAGTTGGGCTAGGCGGTGGAGGGTGGAGACACCAACCGCGACACGAGAAGCAGCCAGAGAGCAAGTGTGTCCAATCAAGCTCATGAAGCCAGGTGCCAATCATCATCAACTTACATACCACTTGCGTGCAACCTCCCGTCAGCCTTTCTGCTCGCGGTGCCAACCAAACATCTCGAAAAGTTGTGTCCCTCGACCAACCCGACATGTGCCACATGCTCTTCATGGTGGTGGAGACGTCACTGCTGAAACAAAATAAAAACAACTTGATCAGTCGGAGCGCAGCTGCAGCAACAAAGCCAGTTCGAAGTCATGGATTTGTTGCATGGGCATAGTATGGGCATTAACTTGTCAAAAATGGCGAGGCAGAACCCGAACAAAAGAGCGGCCAACTGCATTGATCAGTCTCAAGTTCCTTACAAGGCTCGGGCTCGGCAACTTCGGCCAAGGTGCGAGTGCACCTGCTGGACCTTCTGTGCTTCACGCTCTCTGAGCTCTTCCAAGCGCCGAGCTTTGGCCTGGCAGCTCGAGAAGATTTCACCACCAAACCGCAACCGCAACCACAACTGCAACTAGAACTACAACTCCTCTTCTTCCTCCTCCTCCTCCTCCTACTGCCACTGCCACTGCTGCTCCGACTACTACGACTACTACGACGACGACTACTACGACTACTAATACTACTAGTACCACCACTTCCACTTCCACTTCCACTTCCACTTCCACTTCCACTTCCACTACTACTGCTACCACGACGACGACTACTACCACTACCACTACCA